TTAGGGACGGCTAGCTTTGCGCGAAATTCAAAAACAAACAAACAAACAAACCAGTTGAAAAATGGACACTTAAGAAAGCCTCGCCCATAGGCACGTGAATTTTCAGCATCACAGTATGATATCTGATTTTTCCATACACCAACTGGATATTTGGAGCACTGTCAAATAGAATCGGGGCCCGTGTGCTAGTGCCTAGCGATATTTCTGGTCACGTGAACTGAACGTTGAATAATTTTCGCAATATAATCTAAAAGAACCCACCAACGAAAAATCAACATTACGAAAATACCTAAAAAAACAAGAAAATTAGCACTTAATTCGTGGAATTAGGCCGTTTTATACTCTAGTCCAGTAACCTGCGTTCACAAGCCATGTATTTTCTAACTGTGTTGTTTGTCCAAAGAATAATTAATATATAGCTTTTAAATATGCATTTTAAGACACAAACAATAATTCCAACAGTAAAATAGAATGCCTCGAAGCTACTATAATTTACCTGGCTTTCTAACTAATTTATAAATAAGTTAAACAAATTTCTTTACTTTCCGGTCTACTCACAGTAAAATCTACTTGGGAAATGACGCATTTTACCGAAATTAATTTAAAAAAACACGTCATAATCACGTGGGTTACAAAATGGCTTTTTTATTTGTTATAAACATGTATTGTTGACAAATAAGCGTGAATAAAGAAGTAATTTCAAAAACATCTAAATTTATAAGGAGCTTCTGTGATGGGTATAACAAATCTACTCATATAGCATAAATTAAAACAGACGGGGGGTTCTTATCTTAAATTCTAGTCTGTCAATATCTGTAGTTGATGATTTTAATTGATGGACGTTCTGAAGCCCATCAAGGGAAGAAAGATCTAAAACGGAGTATTTAGAACAGAGAGGCATCACGTGACAAAGAGAAATGAAGATTGGGAATTTATTTAAATATTTTAGTTTTTAAATTAAGAAACTTAAACTTATAAACTACATTTTGATTCCAAGTTTATTGATAATAAAGTTGTTTAATTAAATTTTGAATGTAACTCTGTAAAGAGCACCTTTTTTTCATTGTGCTTGTATATTTGAAAACAATGGAAAGGGATAGAGATAACAGGATGAAAGAGAGCGAAAAAATAATTATTAACCGATAATGAAATGTTGTATATCGTTTTCGTTCCAGATCGTAATAAATTAATTTAGTTCCTGTTTATAATTCTGGTTCCGGTTCGAATCCGCTTGGGAGTTGAGGCAAATTGGTTCAAACTTCCCTGATCTTGTTCGTGTACAAACATCTATATGGATCTATCCTCTCTCGAAAACAGCTCATATACAAGAGCGGAAGAGAAAAGATTTATAAACAAAGCAATTTAATTTTCACACAACAATAGTTTTAACCAAAGCTTCAGAATAGCCCGATCAAAGTGACATTGGGGAATTCTGTAACTCTGAATATATAATGCTTAGATAATCAGTAACAAGAGGTTCAAGGATTTGACGGATGAGAGAGACGAGATTTACCTGTTACCGGTGAAATGAAAGAAACTATAGTGACTTGCACAAAACAAAGGTAAGACAAAAATATAATACAAGTCCAGTCAGTAGCACTTAGTATAAACTTAATGAATAGTTTGGTACGTAATTTATTTTTGTATGTTTAACTTTGTTTTAGTTGATAACGTTTTTTCGAACTCTTGTGAGGTAGTTTATGGGTCCAGTATTCAGTTTCTGAAAGCGACATCATAATTCAGTTGATCAATAAAGCCGAGATCAATGAGGAACATCTAAAATCCTTTAACTTATCCACTGAACCCTCTCGGGGCCCCTTCCCCAAACCTGTCCCTGTGCGAAACAACTTTTCTTCTGAAGGCTTCTAGTTGCACTTATAAGCATGTTAAACATCTATAAGTATGTTAAAATGATATTCAAGCCGAGCGCGGCGCAGTGATTAGCGTGCCAGACTGCGAATTCGATGTTCCGCGGTTCTCATCCCGTTACTGCCAAAAAAATAAATTGAGCTCCTCGATGTGGGGTCGTGGGTTAGTTATAAAACTGACAATCAAATCTCACTAGTCGATTAGAGTAGCCCACGAGTTGACGGTGGGTGATGTTGACTAGCTGTCTTCTCTTTAGTTTACGTTAGGGACGGCTAGCGCAGAGAGCCCTCGAGTAGCTTTGAGCGAAGTTCAAACAACAACAACGAAAGATCTTCCTTATGCAAACCACTAATTATATTTATAAAACATGGTGCTCTTCATCGTTTACAAAACCTGCTAATGACACCAATGTAGTTTTATTAGTCCCTTCTTAAACACTTAAAACGACCTTCCTTTATTCAGGTTACTACAGTTACAGTTTACTAAATCCTTCTTAAGAAGACTGCTTGAAACAACTAGAATAATTTGGGTAGATTGAAAACAATTCCTTCGCCCAGTATTTCTTGTATTGGTCATTACTTTTAAGAACACGATACAGTGGCTGTGCAGACGAACTGTAAACTCATGCTTTGATAACCACCTGTATTTAGGCGTGGATAATGTATCTTATCGGTTTTCTGTTTGCTTACGATAAAATGCCCAGTGGAGTATACCAACAAAGTCAAACAACTACTCTAAGCAGGGAGTTGAAGGAAGGAAGTTGAATTTCCTGGCAGGAAATTAGGCTTAAAAAATCGGGACTTGTTAGTGTTTGTTTTGGGATACTCAGGTTGGTAGCAAGGCTACTTTCAGCTCAAAGTTCAATTCAGTTTTTAAAATGGAAGCTTCAGGTAAGATGCATTTTTTCAAACCGGAGTTACACCGATTTTGTAATGTAATTTTGTCATTGTCGGTGGTGATCATTTTACTTAATACAAACCAGAGGTTATACACAGCGCGATATTTTCATGATACCAGTTGTAATGATTTGGGAGTGTTGACAATACTGCTTTAAGCATGAGAGATGATATCTTATAGTTATTTCATATTAGCAGCATGTGTGGTTCAGTATAAAATGTTTGTTTTTGGAATTTCAAGGAAAGCTACTAGAGCGTTTAAACTAAGGGGCCTAATAATTAGGGCACTCAAATTACAATCTACGAGTCGCGGGTTCGAATCCCTTTCACCGAACATACTCGCTCTTTCAGCCGTAATGTGACAGTTAATCTCACCTTTCTTGGTTAAAGAGTAGCACAAGAGTTGGTGGTAGGTGGTTTTGACTAGCTGCTTTCCTTCTAGTGTATCACTTTTAAATTAGGGACGGCTAGCGCACATAAGAGTGGAAACATGCGTTTGATAAGCTCACCGCGTAGTATTCAAGTTGTGAATATTTTATAAGATCATATTAGTAGTATGTGCAGTCAGTTTACAGGCTGAAAATCTGAGTTCAATAAGTCTACTACTTAGTATTTGAGTTGAGGCCAGATTATAAGACGAATATATAACATTTGTGGTCAGTTCCCAGTGTGCAACTGATGAATAAAAGTTTTCTTTTCGAAAGTGCTTGGGTTATCAGATTTCTTATTTTTTGTTTTTCTTCATTTTTTAACCTATGTTTTTTTTTAAATTTCACGAATTCTAAGCAGTATAGTTTAGTCCTAACTGTAATTATCAATCGTACACAAAAATGCTTAACACACAACTTAGTATGAAGTTAGAAACTACGTCAATACCTTAGTTAATATCGAAAAGTATCTATATAAATATTATAGTAGTGTCTGGGGGGTGGGGGTGGGCTGTTTATGGATCTTCACCAAATTTGGCATGAAAGTTTATGGGGTCCATGCGGAGATACGTACAAACTTGCGGTTTCACATTTTGTGTTTTGCAGTTTATATGGGCGGCGTTTTTTCAAATTAGATATAAGGGAAGTAACTTTTCATGTCCTAAGATAACTTTCATTAATCACGAATTTACATAACTTCCGTCCAGGTACTCCAGCTAATTACAAGTAAGTTAATTTAATCCATTTAATGTGAAAGTAGAATGATCTTGCCAGATAAACAATGAGAATTTTATCTTACTTTACAGTTTATTAAAGATGATGTGACGACGTTCTTAGGAGCATTTCCTACTGATCCTCTTTACGTGTCATAGGTTAGAGACCCCCCACGAGTTAGCTGTTACTCATTGTGCCCTACAGAATGTTCATTTATGTCCTCCGGTGGGTAAGCGATACATTTACGAGCTTATATCGCTAAAACTCGGGTTTGCTTTTCTGTGGTGGACAGAGTGCAGATAGTCTAATGTGTAGCCTTGTACTAAAACAAGCAATTATTTATTTATATCAGTTTATTGGATTAATTTTCAAAAGTTGTTATACTAATATGGAATAAAACATTAAAACAAAATTTTTTCCACTATTGTTGTAATCCAATCCTCGATGGGTAGGAGGCAAGTTTACGAATTTACTTACATCCCTAAAATCTGGGGTTCGGATTTCGATTCCCCGTGGTGGACAGAGCGCATGTAGTCTAATGTATAGTTTTGCGCTAAAACAAACAATCTGTACAATCACATGTCTTTCTGAAAAATACAGAACCAGGTGGACGTTAAACTCCATATTTTTGTATGACTATTGCTTAATAATAAAAAAAAAGGTTGTCTTAAAGGTTCGTAGTCAGGGTTGGGAGATACCATCAAACCCTCCATGGGCTAAGATAGGTCACCTAGTTCATTTACTTACTCAGGCTAATGTACAATACAAATAAATATCGCCCATCCAACCTTTGATTTTTAATTTTCATTTTTACTAATAGTAATAATGTTACTTATTTAATACTAAGATTACCAAAATAAAATAAAATAACGAAAACAACAAAAATGAATGCCTTTAGAAATTTTGTACCTAAGGTAGATAATCCAATCCATTTTCATGCTTATATTTTCTGATATTTTTGTTAATCAAATGCAATGGATCCACATAAAACCACGTTAGTGCCTTATGTTCGCTCATGTATAATAACATAAGCTAAAAGATCACTTGATTTTGTGAGAGGAATCACCACCTGCCATGCACTGGCTACGAGTCTAGGTTAACTGTCTACGGGCTTATGTTTTTGCAACTGTTGTCAGCTATTTATTTTTGCACATCTTCAGACAAATATAAACATTTGCATCTTCATTTGCTAGAAATAGGTTAAAAGGAAATTTGGTTTTCTTAGAAACTGAATAGAAGAGTTTGTGATCTCATCGATACAACTGTAATGATACATTTTTACATATTCACTTACAACGCTAAAATCCAAGTTTCAATTCCTTGTAATGGTCAGTTT